GGGGGGGGGGGGGGGGGGGGGGGGGGTGCATTGTGCCTTTTTGGAGACACCTCTATTAAAATATAGAAAATAGCTAGGGTAGCTATGGAATTTTATTATGTATTATTCTGTTGCTTTGAATTTTACTGCTAATTATTGTTACAAGCTGCTTATTTTGTTCTGTTATCCAAATCTTCCCATTTGGGATAGGTCCATGCACTGAGTATGACTTTGCTATTTTAATTCAATCAGGGCCAAGGATATTCCTTACCGGCAGATATACAGTATGTTGATGCAAGGTGGGAGGTCCCAGTGGCACTTCCTCTACGTGATTGTCTTGCACAAGAGCTCAACATGCTTTGCTGTGCTGATGGGTCTGTATTTGTTAGGTTTATCACCAGAATGAATTCTTGGTTAACTTTGTCCTGTTTAGTTCTTTACCGCTGTTAATTTTGCTTGTAGTCGTTGCATCATTTATTTGCACACTTCAAATGAATCTAACTGATGATAAGATCTGGTTCTTGGCAGGGCAGTCTAAAGACAGAGGAACTGACCAAAACATCCTTTTCTGGCATCAATGACTTGGTCTCATCATTTGTGGCTCTATTGCAGGTACAAGTAGGAAGTTGATTTAGAAAAATATGCAGTTTTGTGCATTTTAGCTTAGGAGAACGACCTTTGTGAAGGGTAACTAATCTGTTGAATCAGTGCTGTGTGCAGCGATAAGACATGTTTGTGTGTTCAATTTATGAGCAATTTTGGTTGGGCATGGAAACAATTAAATTTCTAACGGAACTGCTTTAATTTCACCTTCTAGTTCAAGTGATTGTTTCCGAGTAAGAAAGAAAATGCATCTACGAGTTGTAAGGCCACTTGTCCTTCCCAGGACTGTTTTGCAGAACTTGACTGAAGAAATTTTGTTATACTTTCTTTTATAGGAAGAGAATCCCTCTCGTGAGTCTACAATTGTGAGAACTGCTGGCAAGCTTACTCCATTCAACTTTAGCAGAATTCCAGATTTGAATGAAAGTAATGGTGTTCCTTTGGCCACCAAAAGGCGTCAAAAGAGAAATAACTTTAAGCATGTTAACTCTTTATCATCGGAAACATTTTGTGCAGTCTGCAATGGTCCACTTAACATGTCCGATGTGCAAACTTTAAGAAGTTTTGAAGCTGGCCAGGTAAGTTCAATTTTGGCTGGTACCTGTTGTTCAAGTTGTCAATTTCAGATTCTTCCCAAGGATTCCATATCGCAAGAACTTCTTCTTTCACTCTTGCCACCCTCTATGGTTGCTCGAGCAATGCATGGCAGCCCTAGCAATTCCAATTCGCTAAGGTGAGGTTAAGTCTTGTATTACTGTTGGTACTATGAAGGAAAAAGGATAGTGCAAGTTTATGAGAACTGAATTTTGTATTCTAAATCTCTGTTGTATATCATCTTCCCACAAGGCTTTTTCCCTTGGATACTGAACCTGGGCATATCAAAAAAAGTTAAAAGTAGAATAAGATAAATTAAACAACTTCCAGCCTGTGTTTGTATGTTTCTTAAAATGTCTGTATTAAGTCATTTTAGATGGACTTGATGAAATTACTGAAATATTGTTGTTGTTTCATGTAGTTGTATGCTTAAAGTGCGTAGTAGCATGCAGTCTCCTTCAGACATCACTATGTTGAGCTCATTAAGTATTACTTTCAAAATATTCAAGCTGAGTATTTCTGTTCTTAATCGCAGGGAGCAAATACAGGAATTCTTGCTGTCAGATGATGAAGTCGAATCGTAATCCAGGTTAACAACTAGCAAAATTGCCTTCTCTCAACAATGATAATTATACGTGCATTTGTAGAATTTATGGGACGATATCGACTTTTCTTCTCTTAGCTGCGGTTTGCTTTCTTTTTGTCTGTTGCATTCAGTTCATTTATATAGAAACAGATTCTTTTACACTCTGGTATATGCTTCTATTTTAGGTTCCTAACATATGCTAGACTGCCTGATTATTCATCACATAAAATGCTGATTATGAAAAATCTTTTAATGTTTAATTCAAGCATCCTGCAAGTGCTTGGATGGAGTAGTAGACGATTAGCCTTCGGAGATTTTACCCCCAACTAATGAGAAGTGGCATCCAATCAGTAGAACTGAGACAGGTATTGAGCCTTACCTGTCATAACGTCTCATGATCATGATACTAAATGAGTAAACTAAACGAGTAATTACTGAAATCATTTTTTCAGGATAGTAGCATGCATGAAAACTCATGATTGACTTTTCAATGTACATAACAATTCTACATGGGAACATCACATTCATCATATTAGCATAAATGTTTAATTTCCCTTTTTCAAGTTTAACAGGTAAGATTGGAAAGAATTTGAATCTCTAATTCTTTGGTCGGAATATATGCATTAACTAGTTGAACTATGTTATCACGAGTCGTTGCTCTATTTATAATTTTTCAAATCAAAGTCCCAAAATTTGTCTATTTTGTAAGCTAAACAACTAACACGTCGCACTATTTATAATTTTTTAAGTCAAAATCTCATCATTTATGATCTAAACTAGTATATTTTAAAAATAGATTCAAACATCCATGTGATTCTTAAGTTATACCTTTTTCTTCTCCATTTTGTTTAATGGCATGTGCCTCATGAAGGAATAATTTATAAACTTACAAGTCACATGAATATTTCTTCATTATTATTATTTTCAAAAAATAATAATATTATTAAAATAGACCACTTGTTTATTGCCTTATTAAATTTGATAGAAAAAAATAATAATAATAGTTGGTCATATGAAACGCCACCGCACTTTCAAGCTGATCGCATCAACCCATTCCTTTTTTATTCATCTCAATGACTATTAAATCAATGGAAAATATAATTAATTGAAATTTCAACAAAATTCAATATAAGATCTTTTCTTTATTTAACGTTTAATGACAATAACATAAATATAATTAAAATCATCCATTAAATTACACTTAAATCTTTAAAAATTGACTAATTACAATATATAAGCTTAATAACAATCTTAAACAAGTAAATGAAATATTCATAAACTTTAGATCCTCAACACATAAGATAATCGTAGATAACTAATCTTTTATTTAAAAGGTGTCTAGAAACCTAAGCGTGTACTCATGATGATATTCCATACTAAGCATCGAAGCAAAGATAGTCTAAGTGAAACCTTATTTAATTACCAAATGATGATATTCGTATACTCAATAACTAGCTATATGTTAATTTCCATTGAGCAAGGAAGCAACCAAATTACTACCATTAACATAATAATCAAATCTTTTTTTTTTTGAACACTAAAACAAAACAAATCAAATTTTGTCCTCCCTCAAACAGAAGAAACTACAATAGCACGTTTAAGAAAACGTTTTTGAAAACGTTACAAAAAAAATATATAATTGGTGACAAATTTACCATAATCCGTTAACTTAGACTTTTAGGTTAATTAATGATTGAACATGACAAATAGATGGTCTTCCATGAACTAATAATTTATTTTGATATTTTCTAAAAAAAAAAAGAAAAAAAAACATTTTAGTTATTATATTGGGAAACTTATTTCATTTCAACTTTGTATGCCATAATATATTTAAATTTAGCGTAGTATGTGGGGGTATGAAATAGAAGAAGAAAGTAATATTTAAAGGAAATAAAGAACACTTCCCTCCACGACCAGGCAACCAACGGCAAGTAACGAATATTTTAATTCGTCCCATTCCTTTGACATTTTCTGGATCTCCATCATCATTTACTTGACCAGGACTCAAATCCAACTCCTTAAACCCACCATTTTTCTTCCTTCTTACCTACCCCTCATTCTTCCAACTCCCCCAATTTCTGATGGAGATCTTACAGGCTCTTGATGCTCAGGTTCTCGTTGGCTTAGCCGCCGCCGTGGTTGCCATTGTTGCTGGTGCCTTTTTCCTTGTCTCCTCCAGAAAACCAGCATCCACAGGTTTTACTCCACCTTCTGATTTGATTCTTTGAAATGGAAGCCTTATGGGTCTTTATTTACTGCTTTCCAATTCTCTATCCAGTTTGAATTTGTGATGCTCTGATGTTTTGATTCGTGGGTTGTGATGTTTTTGAACTGTGTAGAAGTATTTATATAAGATTGAATTTATACTGATCCATTAGCTTAGCCTTTTACTTTTTATGATGATTTTACATTGCTACAAGGGAGGAAGTTATCTCCTCCTTGATTAATATTGATAGCTACATGTTTTGATTACCACCTCTAGTTGATATTGTCTGCTTTTGCTTGTTACGTATCGCCGTCAGCCTCACGGTTTTTAAAACATATCTATTAGGGAGAGGTTTCCACACCCTTGTAAGGAATGCTTTGTTCTCTTCTTAAACCGATGCAGGATCTCACAATCCTTGGGGGCCAAACGTCCTTGCTGCACACCGCTCAGTATCTAGCTTTACCATTTGTAACAGCCAAAGCTCCCCGCTAGTAGATATTGTCTGCTTTGGCCTGTTACGTATTGTCATTAGTCTCATGGTTTTTAAAACGTGTCTGCTAAAAAGAGGTTTTCACACCCTTGTAAAAAATGCTTCGTTTCCCTCTTCAACCGCTGCGGGATCTCACAATCCTTGGGGGCCAAACGTCCTTGCTAGCACACTACCCAGTGTCTAGCTCTACCATTTGTAACAGCCCAAGCTCACCGCTAGTAGATATCGTCCGCTTTAGCCCATTACATATTGCCATCAGCCTCACGGTTTTCAAACGCGCTTGCTAGGGAGAGGTTTTCACACCCTTATAAGGAATGCTTTGTTCCCCTCTTCAGCCAATGCAGGATCTCACAATCCTTGGGGGCCCAACGTCCTCGCTGGCACACCGCCTAGTTCTAGCTCTACCATTTGTAACAGCCTAAGCCCACCGCTGATCGATCGAAATTCCAATGGCCATGAAAATTATCTTCATCTTTGTTCAGCTCTCGGTCAATGTGAAATGGTAGATGTTATGGGAAATATGCATTTTTAAAAAGATAATGCTCTTTTCTTGCCCTGTCTCTTATGAGAGGATTAACACCTATAATGTTATCTAATTAGCAGCTAATGTTCTTGAACCATCTTTTCTTGATATCTATCACAATTTCTTGATATCTTAATAAAACTGATTGGCTCATATGTGGTTTGTGACTACAGCCTGCTTGGATCCTGAGAACTTTAAGGAGTTTAAGCTTGTTAAGCGCACGAAGCTGAGCCATAATGTGGCAAAGTTCACTTTTATACTTCCCAAGACCGATTCAATTCTTGGTCTTCCTATTGGACAGCATCTAAGTTGCAGGTTTCATTTTATCCATTATAGCGATACAGCTATGATACTCAGCAGTTAACACGCCTAATATTTGGTTCATTTTCCCGCTCTGTTTAAAAACATATGTGCAGGGGAAAGGATAGCCAAGGTGAAGAGGTTATTAAATCTTACACCCCAGTTACCTTGGACTCTGATGTTGGATATTTTGAGCTAGTCATAAAGGTACATGTATAAATCTGCTACAGGTTAATGATGTCACATTGATTATCGTTATTCCACTTCTGATTCTTATATGATTGTGTGTGTGATTTAGATGTATCCCCAAGGAAGGATGTCGCATCATTTTCGAGAAATGCGTATGGGGGACTTTCTTGCTGTGAAGGGACCAAAGGTATGTCTTCCTTGTACACAAACTTTGACAACAGTTTTGGAATGTGTTATTGTTTGATTTTGTAAGAAGCTTTGGTAGCTTTGTTAGCGTATCCCAACCGCTAGCAGATATTGTCCTCTTTGGGCTTTCCCTTTTCGAGCTTCCCCTCAAGGTTTTTGAAACGCGTCTGCTATCAAGAGGTTTTCACACCCTTATAAAGAATGCTTCGTTTTCCTCCCCAACCGATGTGGGATCTCACAATCCACTCTCCTTCAGAGTCAGCATCCTCACTGGCACTCGTTCCTTTCTCCAATCAATGTGGGACCCCCCAATCCACCCCCTTCTAGGCTCAGCCTCCTCCATGGCATATCGCCCGGTGTTTGGCTCACATACCATTTGTAACGGTCCAAGCCCACTGCTGGTAGATGTTGTCCTCTTTGGACTTTCTCTTTCGGGCTTCCTCTCAAGGTTTTTAAGACGCGTCGACTAGGGAGAAGTTTTCACACCCTTATACAGAATGCTTCGTTCTTCCAAGTCCCACTAAAATGATCTACCACAAAACTAAGCTCCCTAAAACTTCTATTTCTTTAACCAAGACACCTCTAACTAATAACAACTATGTCCTTATTAATAACATACCAATCCCCCACGTAGGATCTATGTCCTTATAGAATTGAGTTGCTTTGAATGCTGCCTATTTTAGAAACTTATGTACTCCATCAATTATTGCAGGGAAGTTTTAAGTATCAACCTGGTCAAGTTAGAGCATTTGGGATGCTCGCTGGAGGCTCTGGCATTACACCCATGTATCAAGTAATGAAACAAACTTTTCTTCTACAACACATTTTCCCTTATTCTTGGAATCTTGGCTCTATTTTGTTGTTTCATTGTCTCTTGTCATGTTTTAAAACAAGACAAAACTCTCTCATTTTTACTTCTGTTCTAGGTTGCTCGGTCTATATTAGAAAACCTGAACGACAAGACACAGATTCACCTTATTTATGCCAATGTTACACTTGAAGATATTCTTTTGAAGGTAATTATTTTCTTTGCTTTTTTCTTCAACTTCTTACTCTCTTCCCATTAGAAATACATAACAATACAATAATCACTTGTATTTGCAGGAGGAATTGGATCTTCTTGCCAAGAGATACCCTGATCGCTTCCAGATCTACTATGTCTTGAACCAGGTCAGTTAAAAGTTTAAACTTAGTATTAATCTAATACAATGGTACGAGGATACTAAGAATATATTAAATAACGACTTTAGAGTATTTGTATAATGTTTAATGTTACTACTAATGTTCTTTGTACATTGAAATAGCCTCCTAAAGTTTGGGATGGCGGCGTCGGCTTTGTGTCGAAGGAAATGATTCGAGCGCATTGCCCTGCACCTGCCTCTGACATTCAGGTACTAGGTTTAAATCTTATTTTGGTCTCTAAACTTTCATGTTTATATGTTTTAGTTCCTTCGAAATGTGCTCCTAAACCTGTTAAAAACCGTTTTAGTCATTATAGTTACTTTTGATAAGTTATTTATGTAAAGTTTCTGTGATATATGATAAGATTCGATAATTTAGGGACCATGATAGGATTTGAACTTCGAAACGTTCTTCATAGCACGACATCTATGATAGCTTCTAACTTTTTTTTCGAACCAATGTGTTTAGATTTTGCGGTGTGGACCGCCGCCGATGAACAAGGCCATGGCTGCCCACCTTGATGCTCTTGGATATACACCTGAAATGCAGTTCCAGTTCTAGTTCATGGTGACTCTTCAATATTTGGTGATTTAAAGATGAGGACTTCAACTTTCATTCTAAAAATTTAGTTGTATGAGTGAGCATCAAAGATGTGAACTATTATGCGTAACTTTTAAAACATGGCTGTGATTTCGCATTACAATTGATGTCAATAAAATGGGAATAATTTCTTGCATTTTAACTCCCTGTCAGGGGAATAACACACTCAAATTAATTTAGAATAACACGCGTTCGCTACGGAGAGGTTTCCACACCCTTATAAAGAATACTTCATTCTCCTCCCCAATCGATATAGGATCTCACAGTCCACCCCCTTTTGGGGACCAGCGTCTTCGCTGATACTCGTTCCCTTCTCCAATTGATGTAGGACCCTCCAATCCACCCCCTTTTGGGACCCAGCGTCCTTGCTAGCACACCGCCTCGTGTCCACCTCTTTTAGGGCTCAACCTTCTAGTTGGCACATCACCCGGTGTCTGGTTTTAATACTATTTATGGCAGCCCAAGCCCACTGCTAGCAGATATTATCTTCTTTGGACTTTTCTTTTCGGGGTTTCTCTCAACGTTTTTAAAACGCGTAGGCTAGAGAGGGGTTTCCACACTCTTATCAGGAATGTTTTGTTCCCCTCTCCAACCAATGTGAGATCTCGCACCATCAATATGTACACCGACTGAAACCTCGTTCTTTTTTTTGTTTTTAGCAGGTACAGTTTTTCAAGGCAAAGAAGAATAGCAGAAAGCAGAGCTTGTAATTGCATCTATATCGGGTAAACAAGTGTTATTCCAAAAGATTAAGAAGTTAAAAGAGGTTAAAGTGCAAAGAGAAATGGAGTAATATCAAATAGAAGTAGGCTCATAATGTTACGGTTTTAAAACACGTGTATTAGGGAGAAGTTTTTACACCCTCATAAGAAATTTTTTATTCTTCTCTCCAACCGTATGGGATTTCAAAATCCACCTCTCTTGGGGGCTAGCGTCCTCGCTAGCGCACCACTTTGTATATGGCTCTATCGTCATTTGTAACAACCCAAACCCATTGTTAGCATATATTGCATGCTTTGGTCCATTATGTATCGCCGTTAGCCTCACAGTTTTAAAACACGTCTATTAGGGAGAGGTTTTTACACCCTCATAAGAAATTCTACGTTCTCCTCTCCAACCGATAATAGATTTCAAAATCCACCTCCCTTGGGGCGGGGGCAGCGTCTTCGCTGGCACACCACCCTATGTCTGGCTCTAATGTCATTTGTAACAACCCAAACTCATTATTAGCAGATATTGCCTGCTTTGGTCCATTATATATCGTCGTCAGCCTCACGATTTTAAAATGCGTCTAAAAAAAATTAGTTCATAGAAATTTAGTGCAAATTCTACGCATATCTATGTGTTAGGTCATAGCGATGGATAATATCTCTTTTCATACGAGGTTGAAGATGAATTAGGTTTTTTGTTAGAGTGATTCTCCAAAAACGTGTAATTCATAATTAGAACAATAATATTTCATATGGAAACCATAATAACGCATAGTACACATATTAGGTTAATTTATTTTGCAATAGTTGGAGTATAGGGTACGAGATAGATACAATTAATTCCATATGCTTGTACAAAATCAATAATTGATACAACTCATGCTCGACTTTTTCTTCGTTGAGTTTTCGATGTTTCTCTCTTTTAAGTAATTTATACATTATTTTATCTCGTGTCAATACAAATTAGGTATCTCAATATTCCAAATGTTTACAACGGATAACTTTTTTAAACATCATAAGTTATCTATCGACACATAGAGCTCAATTTAATGCATAAAAAAAGCGTAATTGACTAATCGAGTAATTTGTGACATTGAAGGGCACGAGAGAAGATAGGACGGAAAAGTATGGACCATGTTGATAGTTTTCATTAGCCATGTAAGTTCATTTATGTTACACCTCATTTTTAGTTGTGAACAATTAATGATATGATGTTAACCTATTCATTATATTAATTTCTCAAAAAACAATTCATTCATTGTGAAAACCACCCTCCATTTCATCCATTTTAATAATAAATTTGCACATAAATATGCATTTATACACATAAATAAAAATGTCTCTTCTTTTTTCTTTTCTTTTTTATTTATTTTTATTTTTTGAAAAAAAATAGAATTAATTAATATATTAGGGAGAAAAAAAAAACTCAACCGACAAAGTTGAAAATGTCTAAATTTGTTAAATTTAACTTAAAATAAAAATTATAAAATCTCATTTTTTTTAAAGCATATTAGAGTGATGATTGTCATTTATTTCTTTTATTTTAAATAATTTTTAAAAATATGTAATGAAAAGAAATTGGGATGATTCTTATAATATTAATAAATGATTTATAATATTCTAAAAATAAATAAAAATACAAAAGTAGAGCTGAAGGAGTGATTATTGTTCATTCTCAAATAATTGTTTTTTTTTTTTTGGATTATTACAACTTTAAACAAACAAAAATAAAAATTACAGCTTTTTTGTTTTTTATTTTATTTATTTATTTTAATTCCTTAGAACACCGGCGACAACTCCATCATCTCCTCCACTTGCCCGGCGGCGCCTTCTTCAAACAGCCATTTTTCAAGAAAGGAAAGCGGCGGCGGCGGAGCTGCAGCCACCGCTGTGGAAGCGGCTGTCTCAGATCTTAACTTCTCTCCAACATTTTCCTCTTCATCCTTACAACTTGTCGTGGATTTCCCCCAGGAATTCACATTCTTCAAATTCTCAAACGACAACATCGAATCAAATTCTTCACCAGAAACCAACTCGCCGCCGTCCGCCTCGAATTTCAGCTGCTGCCTCGCGGTGGCAGTAGAATTCTCGCCGCCAATTTTCCGGCGAGATTCTTCCGGTGAAGATCTCATCCAACCTTGAAGAAGCCGCGAAATGTTCTCGGCACTTGACGCGTACGTGGAAGCTTTGTTTCCGGCCGCAAGTTTATCATTAAAGCTCTTGGTCTGAAACTGACAACTGCCGGACTCCGATGGCTCCGGCAGGTCCACGGCGGCGGACTGCAACTTTTTAAGCTTCTTTTTCAAGTGGGTGTTCCAATAATTCTTGATGTCGTTATCCGTTCTCTGAGGAAGATACGAAGCTATGGCTGCCCACCTGAGAATCAAAATCACAAATCAGAGAGATAAAAACAAGAACAGAGCAATAAATTTTCACAAACACAGCAAAATTTCTACGTTCTTACTCTGTTTTTTGCTCAACCCATTTCTTGATTAAACGCATATCAAAAGATTATCCAAAACCCATATCAAAACATGATATTGCAGAACAGAATTTGATATCAGAGAGTATGAACATTATGAACATTACTTACTTGTTACCCAATAAAGCTTGAAGATGAATGATCATGCCCTCTTCATGAGGAGTGAAATTTCCTCTCTTAATTCCAGGTCTGAGGTAATTGGTCCATCTAAGCCTACAACTTTTGCTGCATCTCAACAATCCTAAAATGGGTACAAAAGATTATTGAAAAAAAGGGAATTAAAAGTGAAGATGAAGGAAGCTCTGTTTTGTTGGTACCTGTATTAGTAGGAACTGATCTCCAATTGCCAGGGCCATGTTCTTGAATATATGAGACCAGAATGATATCTTCTTCGGGCGTCCATGGACCCTTCTTGATACCAACTTTCTCACAGCAAGGAGGCCTTCCCATGGCCTTCTCTCTGTTTTTGACTCGATTGTTTGAGTTGGGTTTGGGTATGGCTATGGCTTGAATGCAATAATGAAGGTTTGGTTTAAAGAGAGATCAGAGAGCGGCCATGAACATGTGAAGAGCTTAAATATAGCTTAGAAAATGGCCTGAGATGAAAAGCTAAAAATGGTCTCTTGGATCTACCCAACCCACATCTGAATCAGTCGCCTCTTTATTGAACATCCAACAAAAGTCAGATCAGAAGAGGAGAAAAGGAGGTTTGATTTATGGTGATGCAACTTTTGAGAAGAAGACTTTATGAAAATTTATTAATATTTTTTAGATCACTGTGTGACAGTTGAGACAAGTAGCTGGTTTTCTCCAAAAAGGTGGGATCTTTCTTTACATGATCCCAAGTAAAAAGTAAAACCTATTGCTTCTTTACAAGGGTATTGTGGGCATGGAAATTAGCCATGGCGATCTCGAGATCATGATGAAAAGAGTAAGAGAGTCGGTAATACATATGATATATGTGTATGATAGAGAGATCATTATTATTCCTTTTTTATCTCATTTTCATCTTTTCTATATATTGAGAGAGGAAATTGTCATTTTAAGTTGTCGTCGTCAGACTAACCAAAGGTTACGTGTTGTGCATCCAATGATTTAAATAATGTTGCTAGAATATAAAATAGGGTTAACCTAGTTTTAATAAGCTTGTAATTAGATGATGTCTAGCCTTATTACATTAAGTATTTTTAGAGTGTTGAAATATAAGTCAAGCCTAGTTTCTATCACTTGGTGAAGACTATAAATCACTCGAGCGAAATCTTGTCTCATTTGAGACACTTACTTGGTAGTTTTGGTATTACTTGACCAAACCTACCTACTCTGACATAGCTCATCTTGCTTCTCCAACTGGTTGGTATGGCTTCCACAGGTACCTATTGTGTATGAGGTGGGTCCACGTACTCGAGATAAATGATTACTCCATTAGGTCTTTTTGTTTCGAAGCCGACCGGTAATGGACCTATTTACTTTGCTTGTGGACCATCAACTAAAGTGACTTATGAGAATTTGGACTCCTATCACTCGACCTATTTACAATTACTTAGTAGCTTTTATCCTCATTTGCTCGACTCCATATTTGTGATTCAAACTAATAATTTTAATCTCACCTCATTTAGATCCTTAAAACTCAACCACCATACTTTCATCACTTTCTAACTTTGAATTCACCTCACATACATGTCATCATACAATGAGCTTCATGATTAGGTTAATTTCAAAAATATCATATTGATTACCATTGAATACAAGTGATTTAATTATTTTCTGGAATATCACACTATACATCATCAATAGTAGATTTTCAAACTTTGCTACGTTACATCAATACATATGAATGACCAAGTATAATAGTTTGAATTGCTTAGACTAACCTCAATTTATCATTGATTTTGACACGACGTGGTAATCGAAACCTAGAAAACTCTAGTCAACATGAATCTCCTACTATTTGACATGTAAGAAAAACAACAATAATTTTTAACATGAAAAATTGATGACGTGATGAACACAAATGAGCTAAGAAGGGTAAGGAACAGTTTATTTTAAATAAAAATTCTCTACTGAATCAGAAAACAGAGCAACAGAGCAACAGATTACAAGAACCATGGCAGTACTGTATCTACTAGAAATTCCCAAGGCCTCACTAAGTTATATTACAGACCAGTATCATCCTGTTATGACTATCCAAAACAAGTCCATTTAGCCTCTCTCTATCCATCCATGCAGATTTAGAGGCAACAGTGTCTTCAAAGCTAAATCTAACGTTGTCAACTAAAATTCTGCTAGGAGGCACTCTACCCAACTTCCAATCTAATTGGAGAAAAGATTACCTGGCCATAGTAAAATTTCGAGGCAGCCGAGAATTCACCGAGGTTTCCAGTTTTCGATAGCATTACATTGGAAAAGCCTAAATCTAGCCACTTAATTCTTCCATCAGCATTGGACGAACCTCAGCTGCAACATGCCCTTTTAACTTGTTGGCAGGAGATGGACATATACTAAAGCTTCTACAGAACCAAAAAAAAGTTCTACTAATTTACATGATAATACATATTCTGAAATGAACTCTCAGATGGCAAGTAGAAATGTGAATGCCTAATTTAACCTGTTTAAAGCTATTAATCCTTTAATTGAACATTTGCCCCAAGTAAACTCTACCTGGGAACTTACTGCCTAGGGACAGGTGGTGGCGTCGACTGCTGACCTTGCCCGTAGAAACCTATACCTGGTGGCCTGTAAAATCCTGCTGAAGTTGGCTGCGACTGCTGAGGCTGCTGTGGCTGTTGCTGAGGTGGCTGAGACGTCGGCCTACTCAAACCCATCACAATATGGGGAGGTAAAGGAGGTGGAGGTGGTAGAGAATATGCTCCAAAGTTATAAGGTAATACCCCCATTATTCCACCAGACTGAGCATATTGATTCACTGGTGGAGCTGGCGGAGGTGGTGGAGCAAATGAAGCTTGACTCTGGTTCGCCTGGGATACAGGCTGTATATTTGCTGATTGTGCAAGTGCCACATTTGTCAATTGTTGTTGTTGCATAGGTGTAACGAATGACGCGCCAATTCCATCTGAACTATCAGAAATCGGCATTGGCTTCTCAAGTTTCTGTCGTTTTTCAGGAGAGAATATGGATAATGAAGCAAACCCAGCTGATTTTAGGCCACCATTCATGGAAGCAGCTTCTTCTGCAACAAGAGATGAAAGAACAGAGGTAAGCATCTGTGCTGAAGATGTAGAAGCAGCCAACTTTGCAGCAACAGCAGCAGCAGCAGCTCTCTTGTTTTCCTCTTCACTGCTTTTGGGACCAGCAGAAGAAACCATAGCCTGGACAAGAGGGGACTGAGAAGAGATTGTGTTTGATTGAGCTGAAGGTAACTTAACATCAGTCACATGGGTCATTTCTGTCAGTAGATCAATGTTCGTAGCAAGAGGACCAGGAACTGGACTCACAATTCTCTTCCGAACGTTACTTGCTAGCTCAATTTGAGATCGAGCTATCTGCAGATTCATAAGCAATAATTTCCAAGCAACATAAGCAAACTGAAATTAGAAAATACCAAACCCTCTTAACTAATATTTTGCATTCCCCAACATATGAGATACAACTAATATGAGATGTCCGTCCATGTGAATGGCAGATAACAATAAACAAGTTGATAGTACATAACCAAGTGCTCTGTCGCTAGTACATAAACTTGGGGAAATGAACAGTGTACACAAACTTACTGCTCTCTCACTCTCAAAGAAGTCCGTTCCAATTTATAAAAGTACAAATGTTATATCTTTATCCACAATATTTGAGCCAACTTCTCATAACACCTTGAAAAAGGACCACCTTATCAATTCACATCCAAAAGGAACCAACTGAAGTTTAATCTATTAATGCATTTTCTAGTTGAGGAGAAAATTTGCTAATCAAAATACGATCTAAAAATTGCATTAGACATGACCCAGACCAAATTCTTGATGAAGGTTCACGGTAAATAAAATTTACAGCACAATTCAGTTTCTACAGCCTAAAATAGCTTAGCAATGACTGAGAAAATTGATATAAAATGGTTCAGTGGTTATTGTGAGAAAAGAAACAAGAAGTAAAAATTCTCAAATAATTGAACTCCTAGTAGTTTAAACTGTAATATTGGTATTCAAACTCGTTCATATCACATGATAGAGCAAATAAGTTGTGAATATGACAGCTAATGGATATGAAGCAACCCATAGCTTTTTTTTGGGCAAAAAACAGAAAGGTAGAATTTTGAAGCTGGTCATTGAGAAAGCTTTCAACTGTTAGGATGCTATTGTTAGTTTGCAAATATGATGATACATGCTGGACATTTTAATCAAAACAGTGGAAGTATATGAGAGATTTTCTGGTTTCAGAATCAATAGGAAGAAGTCGTCAATTAGGGGGATAAATATTGACAATGTCAAGTTGAATCAAGTTACTTCAAGGCTTCATTGCAAGATAGAATATTTGCCTTCTTTTATATCTTGGTCTCCCCCATGGAGGTCATCCCAGAAATGCATCCTTATGGCATCCCGTTAAGGAAAGAATTTTGAAGAAGTTGGATACATGGAAATGCTTCAAACTTTCGAGGGATGGTAGGCCAACACTTTGTAATTTAGTTCTCTCTAACTTGCCTTTATGCTACATGTTCCTTTTCCTTATATATTCAAACGTTTGTTTGGAGGTGGAAAGGAAATCGCAGTCATGTAATGTTCTAGTAGAATGATGATAGAAGCAAGCTCCATAAATTTGATAATCGGCTTTGAGATTGGAAGAGCTTTCCTTCAGATACATCATCTTTTTTTTACCGATGAAATCATTCTTTTCTCATCCACATATATCTTGGCTCTTGACAACCTTTTTGGCCTTGTTGACTCCTTTGAAAAGGCATGTGGATTGATTACAAATCATAAGAGATCGGAGATTTTGGGTCAATACAGAATTTGAGGAGGTTAGATTAATAGCCGAGAAATTCGATTGCGGACAAGGATATTGGTCAAATGTCTATCTGCCTTCCATTGGCAGATAAACCTAGAACTTCTTCATTTTGTATCCCAATTGTTGAGAGAAGTTGAAAAAAGGATCCACTCATGGAATCACACACCTACCGGGCGTCGCCTACTCTGCAAGCAACACTCTTGAATCTTCCCACAAACTTTTGTCTCTCTTCAAGATCCCATGGAAGGTTCCATTGAATATTGAAAGTCTGTATAGACATTTCCTTTGAAAAGGGAGCTCCTCTCAATCCAGATCACACTTAGCCAGATTGGAAAAAGTCACTAGATCTACCTCCCATGGAGGCTTTGGTTTGCAATGATTGGCAGAAAAGAATATAGCTTTATCAGCCACGTGAATTCAGACGTATTATCACGAAGAGGATGCTTTATGAAGACAGGTTATTGATGCTAGATATGGGACACACTCTCACATTCCACGAAATTATTTTTATTGAGATGCCTAAGGAGCCCTGATATCACTTTCAACAACTACTTCTGTGTCCACACGTTTATCTTCGGCTCCTCCTCATCCCTTTCATTTCCCAAGTTCTAAGAAGACTTGTCGCCTCTTCTGCTATTTTCTTTTGAGCAACACTACCTTTTTTCGTCGAATTCCTTATTAATGGTTTGATACATAGCTATTCTTTTCCAAAGTTTGCACTACCTCTTTGCTTATTGTGAAGCCCTCTGAATATTGAAATTCCTACTCTAATTGTGGGCCGTATCTGGCATCTTTATGGCGAGAGCATTTTGAACATTAACGCATGGGTAATTTGTACCTTCAATCCTTCATTTATCCATCAGACTAAAATTAGGATCCTTTGGTCCTCCATGATAAACGTGAGCAGTGGTTGGCGAGAAACTTCCATGAAGGTCGGCGACCCTATCCACAAGCATATTCTCCTCCTGGTATGTCCTCACACTGTCGATGAGGCTAATATTTGACTAATATAAACCCCCAATACTTATCCTTGATCTTAATGCCCACATCAAAGCAATCCATGAGCAAGGAGTTACTTCATAACCTTCCAAGCCACCAAGACAGCCACAAATTGCTCTGAATATCTTCAGGTTCGATGGAAATTGAAGAGGAATGTTATGAATTCTCACCCAACCACCATAATGGGATACTAACTTAATTCTACTATGTTTACAAACATCCCATCTCTCTAGCTTCAAAACAAACTGTCCAAAGCTCATCCATTAGACACAAACGACCTTCTAAATCCTTATAATGGCATTTCAGGATGTAAATGTCTGAAAAATGAATGATGATAAGGTTCTCTTCAAGTCTTCCTTTCCTTTCGATCACCTTTAAATCCTCCTTCTTTGTCTTTTTCTCCCTCCCCGACCTTTCTGGGGGCGATTTTACAGCTTCTGCAAAACATTTCTCCTTTCTACACTTACGTTTTATTTCCCTTTGTTGCTCCGTTTTCTTTCTGTTGAGAAAACCTATTATCATTTGTTAAAAGGTCTTCCATCCACTGTATTCTTCTCCCGCTGGCACCACAGATTGAATTTTCCCCTTGAGTTAACTACTTTCGTGGTTTCTTAATATCTCTCTTTTGTTTACAATTTTCTGAATCCAAATGAAGCCATTGTTGCAATTGTTTTTCCAGAAGAATTTTGGGAGTTGAGAACAAGAAGCAAGTCTCCAATGGAGTCTACTATTCAGACAAAAACGATTTCTTCAACTAACAACACGAACTTTTTCCTATAACGCGGTTCTGTGATCTTAACCACCCTTTCTTTGAAGATTTACACAAAAAGAGCTTATTCTACACCTTTATCGTACAAAAAAGTGAGTTTTTGTTTGGGTTTTTCCTTTGCAAGACATGTTTGAATAGGGAAGCTTTTGTTTTTTTTTTCCTTGATGCTGTTTTTTTTTTTAATTCCCCACCCTCTTAGGAGTTTGAATCTTTTGAACATTAGTCTCTTTTCATTTCTTCAATGGAATGTTTGGTTCCTCATTAAGAGAATATAATAAGATGTATAAAGAATAACTAATGTCATCTTAATGATGTATAAAGGCAAAAAAAATTTCGTTCTAAACGATCAAATATATCAAACTCAAAACAACGTCAAAATCAATCCCCACAAAATTATACACTTCAAACAACATCATTCAGTCTTATTTTTCTTGAAAAATGTAATAGTCACGGTCAAAGTTTTATCGTGTTCACTTGTTCAAGGTGTCTGCCACCTCCACCATGCTTAAATGTGCAAGAAATATAAAGGTCTGGCACTCTGATTTAAATGTTTCAAGGTATACTGAAGTTCATGTTTTGACATATCCAAATATCTTCCCAAATTCTGAGGTTTCAAGGTATACAATACATCACATGTCAGACCCACCTTCAAAACTACTTTAAGCCAACAAGAGATCCCAAAACATAAACTCTTACTACAGATTTCAGAAAAGAAAATATAAGAAGCACTTTAACTTACCTGCAACTGATTGCGAACTAGTTCCAGCTTTGATTCCTGTAATTTTTCCACAAGGAAATCAACTTACAATGAAAGTATGTCAACTATATAGAGGAGGCTTGGAATCTTGAGAAATTATTTGAGGAAATAAAAAAGAGGAAGAGAAATTACTTGGTCCTGAAGCGCTTCTACAAGTAAGGAAACCAAAGAAGCCCTAGTTGCCTCAACACTTTCAAGTTGCCCAATACATTGTTGAACCACATTTTCCTGCTCTTGAAGGTCGTCCAGCAATGCTGATCTTGGTTGAGTTCCTAGTTTGGAAGGAAAGTACAAAGAAAAACTCTCTTACAATACTTCTCGAAGAAAGAGGTTTTACGACACAAACATAAAAATATAGCAAGGAGAATTCTATATATATAAGCCAAAGAATAGAATGACCACTGATCTACAAACTTTCAAAAGAGGGAAATTAAGGCATTTAAAACTAAAATATGTATTAAATAAAAAATGGGGTTCGACAATTTATGGTAAGATGTCCCTTTGACTTGGTCAATGTTCCAAGATTGAAGATTTCAATCATTCTTTCTTAGCTTGCTCACTATGGCTACAAAGGTTGAATCTTAGCATTCCCACCATGAAGATTCAGCTACATGTTTGATAGAATAGCTGGTAAATGTATTCCTATCAAATTGTATTTCTACAGTCACGTCATGCAGAATAGGCATGCTGTCATAACAAAAGTTTGGCAGGGAAACCCTTATACTTCATGTTCCTCTACAATCTTATTTTAGCTTTAGAGATTCACATGTCACATGCAACCACCCGAACTTTGACTTTAGCCATCTTCTAACAAGAACATTTGTCACTAGCGTGGAATGAGCTACAAAATTGTGCCAACAAAGATGAAAAACAAAAGGGAAAGAAAAACAGAGTTAGTCCATTCCGCATCTATAAAGCCCTCAGTTACCATTTTATCACTCCCCTTTAAACAATAGTCCATTTGTAAGTATCCCTTTGGTGAATGCATAAACCAGTCATATATAAGGGGTCAGCTAAATCAAAAGATTTATACGCATCTCAAATTTTATAACAGAGGAAAGAGAAAATATGTTTTTCTTCTAAATAAATTGTTAGGAAATTCAAATCCCTTTTTAATAAATGTTGAACCTATTAGTTAACCTTCTTTAAAAAAAGAAAATAGGGAAAAAAAAGTATATTTAGAGAAGTAAACCATTCCAAAATAGAACTACTATATGGCGGTAAACCATTTCGAATTAAATTCTAAATATTGAATGTATCCATCAAATTAGATACTTGTTCATTGTATTAAACGTATTGATATTTTTAGTTTATCATAAAATCCATATATAACAAAATGTAAAGATTTTATTTTGCAAGTATGGCCTCTTTATAATTCTTAGAGATTGAAAAGGTTGGAGTGACTTTACCTCTGAATTTGGGTTTGCTTTGTTCAGGGTTTCTAGCTTGCTGTAGAGATTGCCAGTCTACGATTCTCGATATTCTTTTGTATACACCCTTTCGAGATAAAGGTTGGTTCATTTGGAGGGTTGGTTTCTTGTTGTTTTTAGGGGTATTTAGCTTGAGAAGAATAATAAGATATTTAGGGAATTGGAGAGATTATTGATGGGGTTTAGTCCCTAGCTAGGTTTAATGTCCCTTTCAGCTTCTATTACCGAAGAGTCCCGGAACTGTCCACTAGATCTTATGTCCCTAGCTAGGTTTAATGTCCCTTTCGTGCTGGTTCCTGTTTTTGGGCTATCTTTATGTATGTCTCAGTTTTCTCTTTTGTATTCTTTCATTGTTCATGATGAAAGTTCTATTTCTTCAAAAAAAAAAAAAAAAAAAAAACCATATCTATTACTATCTTCCGGACCTATCATTTAGCATTAGAGTATTGCTTCTCAGTATACAGCGACAATAAGTAGTGGAGATAAGAACAACGACAGAAGAGCTTCAGAAGCTTCCGTCAACAGAAAAACATTGCAGCTATTTAAGGTAAATGACAGCTATTCCAAAAGTAACACGAGTTGGAATTCACACAAACAACACTAATTAGAAAAGAAACTCAAAACCACGCTGTCATGTACGCTAACTTAGCGTACATGTCAGCGTCACCTTAAACTAATTGCATGAGATGACTATAGTAGATGAGGTTATACCTTGAGCTATGGAAGCATTCAAGTCTTCCTCAATTTGGTTCAGATGATGAGTTGCAGAACTACAGTTGTTGAGAGCAGCATCTTCATTCAAATGTTCATCAAGTACAGATTGAAATGCAGTAAGAATCTTTTCCGGAACACCTCCAACAGCCAGTTTCTAGAGTTGAGCAATAAAGATTATAGAGGTCTGAACACAAGAAATCAAATGGAAAACTGCAATAGTCTTACAATTCTCACAGAATGGGCATCCCTCTTCACTATCTTTATAGGATTTGAACTCTTTCCATTGCTGTTGGGTAATGGAGGTGGATTTTTACCAAGCATTTCATCCTTAAGACTCTGACCCCGAGAACCAAAAACCTTTCGTTCTTCCCAAATATCGACCTTAACAAACAAACTCCCATGAAGGGAAACAAGTGAGAAAAATCAGTGAGACAAATGAAATCCCAACTTACGAAATAACATTCAGAGATACTGTCATGACAAAGGGGGAGGGGGGAACTGGTCAATCTTATTATTGCAATTTTTGTTAACATTACAGAGCCATGCACACAGTTGATAGTGGATTTCAAGCAACATATAAAAAACAAAAATGTACGTGAGGATAATTTAGAACAAAATGTCAATCAATCGTAATCTGTAACCAAAAAACAAATTGTATAAACTTCCACACACTCTATGAAAGCATAAAAAGATTTTTAATAAAAAAGATTGAATTATTTAACTAGTCCAAAGTTACAATATGCACAACTAGTATTTAACAAAGCAAATCAAGGTCCCCAAACACCTCCTCCAAAGAATGCAACAAAGCGTCCCAACCAAGCTGCACATCTTCCTTGAGGTCCAATCCAAATGGTCAACTTTTTTGTGCATGACCGGTCACACGAAGAATTTAACCTTCTAGAAAGTTCCCACCTTCCACGACAACAAAAGAAAGAGATGCTAGAAGGGAGGGACTTACCAAACAAGGAAAGAAGGAACTACAAGAAAAAAACTTCGGACTAACTAGGATTCCAAAGACGAACATCCATTTTCCCAGGGAAAAAAATCAAAACTCTCCCATCATAGATAAAAGGCCAAACATATATTGTTTCCCTGTCAGACAACAAACAACAAAACCCCAACAGAGGCAAAAGAAAGCACTTAGGATGAGAAAGGACAGTGCCTACCGATTGGTTTCTCAGAGAGGATAACTGATATAAACTAGAAAACAAAGAGCAATAGAACCTATCCCCCAACCACTTATACTCCCAAAAGTAGGTATCCTTCTCATCACTTATCAAACAATGAACAAATTGAGAAAGGTAAAGAAGCTCAGCAAAAATATCTTCCTAAGGGTTTCAAGAAGTGTCTTGATAAACCAACCTACTCAAGATGTCAATGACCAAAATGAAGAGGAATGGAGTGGGGGATCACCTTGCTTAAGATTTGTAGGGGCTTGAACCTCTGTCAGGTTAACTATTGATAAGGATAGAGATATTCACCATCCTAATACATCTTCAAATCCACAACCTCCATTTAAACACAAAGACTTCCTTCTAGAGATCCTTATCTAAGAAATCTTAAATCAACATAAACATGATAGAGAAATTAACCATACTAATACATCTTCAAATCCACAACCAACATTTAAACACAAAGACTTCTTTCTAGAGATCTTTATCTAAGAAATCTCAAATCCACATGAACATAAGCTTAACCAAAATTAATCTTAAGAATGACACCCTCTTGATTGTGATCCTCAAAAGCCTCATTGACAATCAACACCCGATCCATATTGTCTCTCTACTACAAAAGCTCCTTGGGAGTCTGAAATCGTGTTAGGGAAGACATTTCTCAGTCTATTTGCTAATGTCGGAACAATAATCTCATTTAAACTTATAAAAAAACTTATTGGCCTAGAGTCCTTTAACCCTACACTCTTTTGTCTTCTCAGTACAAGGAAAACATAGGCCTCATCAGTAGAACATCAATGTAAAACTTAAAAGACCTTCCAATCATCCTCCTTAACACACTCCCAACTCTCTTGAAATAAAAACCATTGTGAATCCATCCAAACTAAAGAATTTATTTCAATTAGACTCAATCACCACTTTCTTTTATATCAATCTTTATGGGTGTACCCATTAAATAGTAAGCTTTTTGGAAGACAAATTTTAGATCTCAGTTTCCTTTCTTCTCTCATTAATAGATTTATTTACAATAAGATCAAGTCAAGGATTTATCTACCCCTCACGAACAGGTCCTTTATTTATCAAAAAAAAATTAATTATGATTATAACTATTTTAAACAAAAGTTGTTTTATAAAGAAACCTACATTCACGTCTAGGAATGGGGGGGCAAAAGGGGAAAGAAAAAGTACCACATATTATGCTTCAAACTCAAGTTTTAAACCCACATATCAGGAATTTACTAGATTATTCCTAACTAATATACAAGCTTTAGGAATTAGCACCAACTGACCACCCTCAGTACTCATGAAACACCAATCAGAAGACTGCTATAAGTAGAATTGAGAGTTCTATTACCAATGTGACTAATAAAGCAGTTCAACCTTTGAGAAGCCTAAATATAAATGTTTATGATACAAATTTGTCAGGCCAAATGATGAAATCCATCCTCCCTTTTCTGTTTTCCGTCTTCACCATTTCTTCATTTCTTTTTTCACAAATGAAAAATGATTTACATTTCAGCAATATGTTCCAGAGTCAACTAAGATGCTTCCACAAATAAAAACATAAAAACATTTATTGCCATCATATTTATACACAAGAATAAAGAGGACATACAAGTCTTGCTACCGCCTTCTTTCCACTTTCATCCCCATGATCATAAACATACTTGAGAGAAACAGGAAGAACTTTCCAGAATTCGTTCACAAATTCACTTCCCTTGCGCCTGCTGTTTTGCAAAATGTCATTTGCCAAATAAAGAAACGAAACACGCTGATCTTTCTGAGATGAGTTGAATAATTTATCCCATGTTTCAACAATCTGCTTGGCCTTTTTCCGGTGGGAAATGCACCATCTTGATAAAGCTAATTCAATATCAAAGAAAAACAAATTCATTACAGTTGCACCCACCATCAGAAATTTTTTGAGGATATATTTGAGCACAAAACATTCTTCCATGAGTCAACAGTATAAGAACCGTTCTTTAATCAGTATGTACCAACACAAATAAATTACAAAAAGACTTCAAAAGGGGCTCAATCTAAACACAAGAACTAACACATCCCAAACGTCTTCTAATCTAGTGAATTTATAGCCAGAAAAATGAAAGAACAAAGGCAATAATTACTCTCAATCCAAAGTTCCCAGACAAGAGTAATGAAAATGTTCAACCATAAGAAGCATAGGTAATCAAGGTTAATAATGAAGTCATGCCAAAATCGAAGAAATCTCAACCACAAAATCATGAGGCTATCCACAAAATTAAATTCAATTAATTCTTTTACAATTTAAAATACATATAGAGAAAGATCCTAACTTCAAAGTTTTAATAGATAATCGCCACCATACCCAGTTCTTTACATACATAATTAGTAAATGACAAAAGGCATTACTTTGTTTTTCTTCTTTCTTTTTTTTTTTTTTTTTTTTTTT